GCCTCCCAGTATACAGTTAGTCCTCAGACTCCTCCACCCCCCCACACACACTCAAGCCTCCCAGTATACAGTTAGTCCTCAGACTCCTCCACCCCACCCCCACACAGCACCCAAGCCTCCCGGTATACAGTTAGTCCTCATTTTCCCTCTTGTTAGCCCTGTCAATCACCACGATGGACACAGGTCCAATCTTCTGTGTATTCCTCAGGTGCGTTTCGTGTTTCCCCTCTTTATGGGTGCTCTTGGTCTTAACTTGAGCCTGCTTTACTTAGAAAGCACATCTGAGAACAGATGGGAAGACCCCAGAGTGGTCTTCTGTAGATATTTGTTATCTGTAGACCCCTCCTATAAATACTTATCACCCAGAATTGATTGGTGTACCCTAAAAGACATCTTAAAATTTTTCCTGTGCAATATTTGAAGTGAGTGTTCATCTTGAACAAGCTCTCTGCTCTAGCTAAAGGTGAGGATTAAAATATAATTATGATGTTGAACACATGATAGGAATTATCTCACTTAATATTCATAAAACCCCATGAAGCTACTTTGTTATCTCCAAGTCACACAAGGAAGCTGAATCTTATACAAGTTCTAAGAAGTAATGGGATGTAGACTCATAACTTCCTGTCCAATTCCAGTTCTGGAGTTTTAAATACTATGCTAATCTGATTTAAATGAATTCCTGTAACAATCTATGTTTTACCTAATCTAAGGTCCACAGATCTAAGATTAAAATGCATTTTACCTTGAATTCTTACGTTTTAAGTGCTATCTATTTCTTGCTAATGGTACATAAGCTAACAACATATTTCCCATTCAGTAGCGCATTAGATTTCCTTGAGTTAGGTTGCAACAACCAGTCTTAGGAAAAATCCCAGAGGCTTAAAACAAGCAAGCTTTGTTTTCTAGCTCCAACAAAGTCAGCTAAGTGTCATGGTGGATCTCTCTTTAGCAATTATCCTCTGTGCAATGGCTTGGGATGCACATCACATTTATACATGCTTTCACAGTCACTATAGAGAAGATGGGGGCCTGGAGAATTCCCATGGCAGGAACATATACATTGTCTAGAGTTAGTCACAGAGATCTGCCCGACCTATAGGGAAGCCAGGAAGTTTAATCCATCCAAGTCGTCCAGAAGACAGGAGAAGCAGAGGCAAGTATCTAGTGTTTGTATCACAAGCATCATCAGTTCACTGAAATGTAGTTGTTAGGATCCACCAATGTAAACATTAGGACTCTTTTATCTAGACCAAATGTACAATGATGGCCTTTCTGATTAAAATATGCTTCAGAACTCATGATTACCTCCAACTGCAAAGAACAAAATTGTAGAATGAATTTAAAGAAGAGTTGTAGAAACAGCATATTTCTAGTTAACGTGGGGCTTTAACCATGGACAACAGAGGGGTTCTCAGGAGTCTGAGACCTGAAGTTATACAGACTCTCTGCTTCTTTGTGGGTTTTGTTGTTGTTTGCTTTTTGTTTTTGTTTTCTTGAGGATGGGTACCTGTTTGGGTTTATTGCTTATTTACTCATTAAGTAAATATGTGTGGAAGACCCCAGCACTGTTTCTGGGTGCTTGGTAGCAGCAAACATAACTTGACAGGTTTTCACATCTCACAACGTGTTTGTTTTTTGTGACAGTCTTGCTTTGTAGTCTAGGCTGATCTTAGACTTGAGATTCCCTTCCTCAGCCTCCCCAAGGCTGGAATTATAAGTGTGTGACACCATGTCCAAGTGTGTGACACC